ACAGCCTTCTGGAAATAGCATGGGGTATTCCCATGGTCTTAGCTGCTCTCACACCAAACATAAGCAGCATGCTGGGCAGCCAAACAAGTCGGTTATAAGTGACATGTCCTCTTTACCTAAAGTTCTGGGAAGGGGCTTTTCATTTGCATTTGTCCCATTGCACCCACTGATGCAATAATAGCCACTTTATGGTCCCATTTGGTATTGGTTCTGTCTAGACTGCAAGCTTCTTTTCTGGAAGAGATCTTCTGGAAAAACTTTCTTTCAAAAAAGAGCGTCCACACAGCAGACGCACAAGGAAAAAGCGATCTGCTTTTTCGAAAGATAGCATCTGCATTGATTGGACGCTATCTCGCATTTAGATTGTGATTACTGTGGATGGAGTGGCCACCAGGGCATCAGTGCTTTTTCCTGGAGGCCTCTTCTGTCAAAAAAACACTCTCTTCCGTGTCCACACATGCCTTTTTCCAAAAAAGCTTTTCCGGAAAAAGGCTTCTTCCTCGTAGAATGAGGTTTACCACCATCAGAAAGACCCCTCCGTTCTTTCAACTTTCTGTCGAAAGAACACAATAGCAGGGTGGACACAAGTATTTTTTTCCAGAAAAAATGGCTGTTTTTCCGGAAATACTCTGCAGTGTAGACATACCCGTTAAAACACAGTCTCAATCACCCTGACATGAATGCTGATTTTGAAAGCAGCTGGTGCTACATTTCATCTCACTGGGCCTGTGGGCACAGCTCTGCTTCCCTCTCCTTCTGCATCATCATCACACTTCAAAGCAGCTAGTAACCCAGAGACCCCCGCGGCAGGAATTTGCCAAACAATTGTTTTGATTTGAAGACTCATCACTCTATATCATAGAAACTTAATTTAGGAGGTAGATCAGCACTTGGAGACATGCTGGTGAAAAACGGATCAGCAATAGCATTTGGCCTGCTATACTAACTCCTAATTTAGAAATACATACACTAATTAGCTTTAAATCCAAAAGGTGCATAATGGACTTAGAAGTGTTTTTTAAAGATATACTAAGGATAAAATCTACATCTTTTCATCTGTTTTGTTTTTATTTTGGATGGTCAGGATTTTCAAAAAAGCTTGTGATGGGGCAGTTGTCCCATACTAGAAAAGAAAGGGTTAAAACAATACTGGAAGAGGGCGGGGTTAGGAACCAATTGGGAGAAGGATTAATGTAGCCAATCTAAAATGGGCTGCAGGAGCTCAGTCTCTCTCCAACTCTGGAGGGAGAAGGATGAGGCAGGCAGGTAGGTGAGCGATTGTACTGCCAGAGAAGTGTTCTCCAGCACTGGAAAGAGCCAATTCCCAGAGGACCAGCAAGGGGAGCTGGGTTGTGGATGAAGACCCATTACAGAGCTCAACAACCATATAAACCTAAAATTCAGTTGGATTTTCAAAAGAGCTCATCACAATACATGCTAAATTCTTTGGAACAGGTGGCCATCCTGTGACAATGGGTGCTGAGACCTTTTGAAAGTCTGGCCCTTATTTAGGGATGGAAGTGGGAGTTGACCCCTTTTGGAATCCACCCCAATACGTCTATTTGATTTTAGTTATCAAGCAAATGAATATCCAACTGGGGTAGTCCAACTTGCTTCTCCTAGGAATTGTCATGGAGTGTGACTCATCGCTGCTAGTTGCTCCAGGGAATTAGTTCTGTCTAGCAGCCCTTGAGTGCATAGCCGTTCACCCTAATGACCAGAGTCTGTAGAGAAGCCCTTGGGTTCAAGGCAGTTCAGCCTCATGGCCAGAGTCTGTAGATTAGCCTGTAGATTACAGGGCAGTACAGCCTAGTGATTAAAGTCTATGAAGTCACCCTTATGTCACAGGGCAACATGGCTCAATGGTCAGAGTCACTGGAGGTCCTGTAGCAGGTCCTTCCTTGCCAGTGTTCAGCCCAGGCTGACCAGAGCCGCCCCTTTTATACTGCTCCAGCACTTGGAGCATGCCCAGTTTGGCTAAGGGGTGGGGTTTCCTCCATCCAAAGGGTCTTAACCCCTTCTGGCCCAGTGCAGGATATGCACACTTTGTCACAGGAACTTTAAGAAGAGACAGTTTTAAAAACTTAGTTTTCTCATTGGCACCATTAAACCGGACTCTGTCCCTGTAATGAGCTCTTGACATTATGACAGTATTTTCTGTCTTTAAAATGCAGAGGGCGCTGAAATATTTATATACCATGCCACTTGAAAATGAAAAACTATATTAAAAAAGAATCTAGCTGAATGTTCATTCTATTCCAGTGAGATTGATTTCTCAGCAAAAGACTTTCCTGCCAAAGTTGTATTTGAAAATGGTATGGTTTACCTTTTGCAAAACTTAGTTTATAAAAGGGGAAGCATATTTAGAGTACACACCATTTATTTTCCACAGGTGGGTATTTTTCCTGCAATAGTTTAAGGTTAATTTCAAGATGGTAGATCTACGTCTGCACTGGCAGCTTCTTGTGCAAAAACTCTTCCACAAGAGAGCATCTACACTGCCATGAGCTTTTATGCAAGAGCATCCATGCCAGTGTAGACGCTCTCTTGCGCAAGAAAGCTCTGGTGGCCATTTTTACCATAGGGGCTTCTTGCACAAGAAATGTCATGTTGCCTGTCTATGCTGGCCTCTTCTGGAAGAGCTCTTGCTCAAGAGGGCTTCTTCCTGAGAGGGAGCATCAGAGTTCTCGCGCAAGAAACCCTGATTTCCACAGTACAATGTCAGTTTACTTGCAGAAGAACGCGTGGCCAGTGTAGACAGGCGGCATGTTGTTGCGCAAGATCAGCCGTCTTCGCGCAAGAAAGCACCAGTGTAGACACAGCCTTAGGGGTTTAGCAACCGTGATGTCACTGACACAGGCAGAATGGGATAGCTGCATGAGAGGAACACAGTGACGTCATAATGGCAGCCTAGAAGCTGCTGTTGTTTGGTTTCAAATTCGGGAGCAGGCTGCATGGAGAGTATGTGGGGATCTGCGAGACAGCTACCACGTGAGTGTGTGTATGTTAAAGAGCTAATATTCCAGGCCCAATCTTGGACCAGGTAAGAGTTTTCTCATGTTATCAGTACCATATGTCTTGTGATATATGTTTTCTGATTTTCACTGTTTCCTACCCGCTCTACTCTTCTTGCAATGACAGAGTTGATGCCCATTTCTTCTATGCCACAGGTGAGCTTTCATGCTGTCCACTCGGCCCACCAGTGTTACCAACCCCAAACATAAGTCAGACCCCACTCCCCGCCTCAAGAACGACGAGAACATTTTAAAAATAAAAATTGTATTAATAAATGAAAGCAGAGATTGTCACATGACTCCACGATATGGGGATTTAATAATAACACCAGCTACGCGGCAGCATTGCCCTCCCTAAATCTGTGCTCCAACCCCCTGCCCTCTTCACAATTCAAATTGTTCCTAAAAGGTATGTCTCTCTCAGCAAAGGATTGGGAGCCAGGAATACCTGAATTCTAATGCTGGCTGTGACAAAACAAAGTTTCCAGGCTTGACTATACCAGTAAGTTTTGCTTCCAGGACCATGAGGGAATTTCGTCTTTTCCCCGCCATGTATTGTCGACAAACATGCAATGTGGACACCTTGTGGCATTTTGCCACTGATTCTGGCCTCCAGGAAGTGGCCCAAACAGACACTCTGGTCAGCCATTTGAACTCCCCTGCCCTGCAGCCAGGTGACCAGCTATCTTCCCCACTTGCTTGCAAGCTCCACAAAATTTAAATCCCATTCCCTGCAGCAAGGACACTTGGAACACTTCCCCTCATGGCAACTTCCCAGGTGCTTATGCCTGGCCATCGCACCAACGCACCCCGCATTTGGACCACTGCAAAGCTGTTGGATCTGATCCATGTATGGAGAGAGGAATCTGTCAGTCCCAGGTGAGAGTGACCAGAAGGAACTGGGGCAGTGTCTAGACTATACGGCTACGTCTAGACTGGCATGACTTTCCGCAAATGCTTTTAAACGGAAAACTTTTCCGTTAAAAGCATTTGCGGAAAAGAGCGTCTAGATTGGCACAGACACTTTTCCGCAAACGCACTTTTCGCGATCGGGGCTTTTTTAGCCATTTTCGCGATCGGGGCTTTTTTGCGCAAAACCAATCTGAGCTGTCTACACTGGCCCTTTTGCGCAAAAGCTTTGCAGCATAGTATTTCCGCAAGAAGCACTGATTTCTTACATGAGATCGTCAGTGTTCTTGCGGAAATTCAAGCGGCCAGTGTAGACAGCTGGCAAGTTTTTCCGCAAAAGCAACTGCTTTTGCAGAAAAACTTGCCAGTCTAGACACAGCCTACCTCTCTGTTGACAGAGAGATGTAAATTAGGCATGTCAAAATTGCTAATGAAGCAGGGATTTAATGAAGCAGGATCTTTCGACAGATCCATGTCTAGACTGCCATTTTTTTAAAAAAAAAGCTCCGTTTCGAAAAAAAAAGCGGCGGCCGTGTTTATGCAGTCCAGGGGGACGGAGAGCAAAGCGGCGGAACACGCGGGCAGCGGACAGCCCAGACGCGTCTGGGCTGTCCGCTGCCCGCGTGTTCCGCCGCTTTGCTCTCCGTCCCCCTGGACTGTGTTCAAATCTCCCTTAATCTTCTCTTTGTTAAGATAATCAGACTAAACTCTTCGAGTCTTTCATCATGCAAACTCCTTTTAAATATTGGCCCCCACATTCATTTTTTTCCAGTCCTCTGAAACTTCCTAATTTTCCCAAGACTTGGAATATATATATATACACACACACACACACACACACACACACACACACACTAGTATATCAAAAGAAGAGAGTTAGAGTTATGAAGTGTAGGACCCGTGTTAATGAGACCAATTCGGGTCAGGTCAACACTAAAGGGGAAGGTTGAATTAAGGTACACAATTCCAGCTGTGTTAATTACATAGCTGGAGTCGACGTACTTTGATTTTAGTTTCCCCGCTATCCCCCTGCTGAGAGGCCAACAGGAGCAAACAAAAAATTGGCTTCCCTTACTCTTTGTAATAGCAGAAGTACTGGAGCTGACAAGGGGTGCCCTCTGAGTTCAATTTAGTGGGTCTTTACTAGACCCACTAAATCGAACTCCAGAAGATCAATCGTGACAGTGTCTCAGTCAGGGTGGATGTGACTCACTCCCAGCTGCTGATGGGGAAGTGTGAAGACCAAGTGAAGGCAAACTGCCTTTGTAGTGAGGTAACCATTTTAAATCCTTATTCAGTCCTAATTTGATTGTGTTAAATTTGCAAATGAATAGCAGCTCTGCTCTTTCTCGTTGTAGTCTGATTTCAGTCATTTTTGCAGAAGGATGGCTGCTTTTGAACCCATCACTGAGTGTCCGGAGAGGTTAAACCAAAATGCAAACACAAGGAGGAGTCCTGTGGCACCTTAAAGACTAACAGCATTCTGTGATATCTCTGTCTTACCTAACTCCTCCCCGCCCCTCCCCCGCACTCACCCATACTCAGCTCTAGCAAGAGAGTGCATTTAACTGTGTGATTTGAGACCACCATTCATCATGCCGCCAGATTGCCTCGCTCAGCTCGTCCCCTGGGACCACCCTCCCCACTGCCTGCCTCTCTTTTCCAAAGGAGGCTGTTAATAATGCATGCTCAGGAATTCTCTGAGTGATCGCCTGTTCTAATCGCTTCAGCTTCTATTATCTTAACAGGGGAGCTGACCTTTCGCAGCCCAAATGGGCATCTTTGTGGACAAAAGGCTAGCACAGCATGGTGTTTGCGAACACAGCTCTTCAATTTGGAGGCCCAGCTGCTGGGGAGAAGCAGGACTTGCTGGGCAGTGAGCCTGATAAAGTGTGGGGCTGTTGTGTCACACGCACTGAACCTCTGCTTTTGAACATGACAGTGATAGGAGCTATAGTTGGGGGAAAATGTAGTGAGAAGAATGGGAGCTGGGGAAGAATTTCACCAGGATGTGGCTGGCTGTGACAAAGTGCTTTGGCTCCTGATTCACCCCTTGGATGACCGTTTTTATTCCCTGCTGTTTTTCTCAATTTGAGTTGCATGATAATTCCCTTTGCCTGCATTTAGCACAGTGACTAAATACAGTCACTTGTCTTTTAAACTGTCACATGGAAAGGGTTTTCTTAAAGTGCATTATTTAGTATTTACATAGCCCATTACAGACACAGACATTCATTAATCTTCATTATATGACTGTGATGTGGGGAAGTATTATTATCACTATATTATCAGTGGGGAAACTGAGGCAGAGAGCGAGGAAAAAGTGACTTGGCCAAGGGCATGGAAGAAGTTGGTGTCAGCCCTGGAATTAAAATCCTTGACATCCATTCCTGTGCTAATGCCACTGGCTACCCCCTATAATAAATATATTACACAAATGAAATATAACAATTAATGTATATACAGAATTTTGGGAATGTAAACTGATATTATAAGTACTAACTGCTGTTAATTGAACATGCAGATGAAATAACATAAGTACTATATTATACGTACTTATACTAAAGTACTATATTATAGTATACTTAATACGTATTAATTACTTAATATGTATTAATACTTACACTTACTTAATACTGTACTATATTATAAGTACTAACTGCTGTTAATTGAACATGCAGATGAAATAAGAACCACACCTCTCCAAGAACAATGGACTAAGTCACTTGTTGAGAGCTCCAGGATATAAGACATTGAAAAAAAGTCAGGTGTCTAAGATGGGCCCAAGCAACAAGATTAAATCTGAACCTTTTGCCACCAGGCCTTGTGGGAATTCAGATCTCCTGTGGAGTGCAAACTGAGATCCCAAATCTGAGTACCTACACAGGGAAAGTTTTCTCATACTGGAGGATTCTCCAGTGAAATAGAAAAAATCAAATCCCTGGAAACTGAAATTAACAATGGTCAAATAAAAAACAAGCTAATTTTAATACTGTTTATTTAAAAAATATTAATAGGTTTACAACTCCCTGGCCTGTAAATATTATACAAAAATAATCATTACAACAATGAGCTTTGGTACTAAGATTGGATGTCTTCTAAAATATGTAGATTTTAAGGCCAAAACAGACCACTGTGAGCATCTAGTCTGACTTCCTGTATAACACTGGACATATAACTTCCCTGAAATAATCCCTAGATCATATTCTTTTACAAAAACATCCCATCTTGATTTAAAAATGGTCAGTGCTGGAGAATCCACAAGAGTCCTTGGTAAATTGTTCCAATAGTTAGTTACTCTTTGACTGTTACACATTTACACCTTATTTCCAGTCTGAATTTACCTAGCGGGCACCAGAACTGACCACAGGATTCCAGCAGCAGTTGTACTGTTCCAGCTTCAGCAGTATAATAACTTCTCTGTTCCTGCTCAAGATTCCTGCTCATGAATCCCAAAATCACGTTAGCTCTCAAACTTTTGTACTGGTGACCCCTTTCAAACAGCTAGCCTGTGAGTGCAATCTCCTTATGAATTAAAACCACTTTTAAAAGATTATAAATGCTGGAGGCCAAGCGGGGTTTGGGATGGAGGCTGACAGCTCGCAACCCGCACATAATCCCTGTGGGGTCATGATCCCCAGTTTCAAAGCCCCTGCACTGTCTCTTTTGGACACAACAGCACACTGGGGGGCTCATGTTCAGCTGGACATCCTCCACAACCCTGAATGTTTTTCAGAGTTAGGCTCAAGGATATGGATGCTATTTCTTCACATCTAAGTGCAGCCTCAGGGATCATTTCTGATTGCTGATACTAATAAAGTCTCTTGTTCAGCAGTAGAAAAAGCAACTTTGTGATCCTTTACTGAGACTCTGGCATGGGATACAGGCATACCTTCCCCCCTCCCCTGACACACACACACCTAGCCCCATACTGAAGAATGCATCACTGCACCAGGAATCCCTCTTCAGAGGAATCCAACAGTTCTTAAAAAAAAAAATCACATCATATTTTGTAAAAGGCACAAATCTCACAGCCTTGTCACAAGCCATGTACAGCCTAGTATGATCTAGCCACTTTTAGGTTCTTGTGAAGAGGTCCTCAAGGGTTTACCCAGGCTTGAACAAAGACATTAACTGGTTGGCGCATTACAAAGCCAACTCCTCTCTTAAACATCTGCATTTCCACATCAAAAGCTACATATGGGACACATCCAGCCCACTTAATTAGCTTCATTGATAGGGGACAGGTATTTCTGCTGTTACATACATCTCTTGGTTTCTGTTATTTCCACTCCAATTCATCTCATGAAGTGGGTTTTGCCCATGAAAGCTTGTGATTCTATATATTCTAGTTAATCTCTATTTGTGGTTTTTAGAGGTTCACAAGGTCAGTCTGAGCATCTGTAGGGGGCTGTGCAGTTTGATGTGAGCAGTGTTGGGCAGATTTTCATCTTTACCCACTTTGGGGCTGCTCCCAATGGCAGGTGGGTCTCGCGACTGTTGGAGAGGATGGGGCTGACAGCACTTGTCATGAAAGATTGCAAGTTGTGATAGGTGGCAGGCCCAAGGCTTTTAGGAGATGCTGCATGGGGAAACATCTGGCAGCGTAGGACCTCCCAAAGCGCAAGACCTTGTGCAGGGGTACACTGCCCACATGCCCAGGGCTAGCCCAGGAGGCATGAATGGAAAAGATCATGTTAGATTTCCAGGCTTCTAGCTTATGAGCATATAGCAGAGTTCAGAAGCAGAATCTCAGAAATCCAGGGCATGGGGAGCTTTTCAAGACAGCAGCGACTTCCCGCTGATACTCATGTTTATTTCCTTTATGAGGAAGGACGCTGTTCAAAAACCAACAGTCAAATGTCTGTCCCCTAGGGAGACTGGTTAAAATATATTATACCAGAATTGGTTCCTACGACATTATAATTGGGACTCATTTCCTTATTATGCCTATTTTCTACCTAGCATGAATCACTAATCAATTTCTGTGGGAAGTGTAATCTGCCTGCTTTTTTATTTCAGTACGTGGCTGCTTACTGTGTCCAATTTTCATTCTGACTTTAGCTCAATAGCAGAATCAGATCAGAAATGCTAGCGAATGCCTGAGAAAAGCTCTTCCGCTTGATTAAAACCAGCACACATTGGTATACTCCAACTGTGCTTCTTACAGAGAAGAGGATACACATTTTTCTACTACGAGGAGGAGGGGGACTGAGCACTGGGGGAACCCTAGTTCAATTTATTGTTATTACATATTTCCATTAGCAAGTCCCTTACACATTGAATTTTAAAAGTGACAGGAATGATTTCTTTCTTCTTCCTTTTAGTAACTGTATAGAGTATAAACAGGCCTGCTGACAGAATTTCAGGGCCCCTGAGACAGAACAAACTATGGACCACATACCCTCTCCCTTAGCCAGAGCCAGAAGGACACCCTCTGGACCCCTGACTAGAGGACCCCTGGCCCCCGACCGGTCACAACAGTGCTTCCCCTAA